CATTCTCATAAGCGGAAGGAAAGGGAGCACAACGTGGATGAGGAAATTAGGGTTTCTGAGGATAGGAGGGAACGGAGGAGGTTTGGGGATAAATTCAAGAAGGACGAATCAGAACAAGAAGAAGCAGACGGCCATGATATGACGATACTATTCATGACTCATGCCTCTGCATCTTAAAATAAATAATATAAAAATTTAAATAAAAATAATTTTTATTTAAAAGGCTTACATGACATTTAAATGATGTGTACATACACATCAGATACAGTATCAAAACCCCTCATTTATTGAGGGTACAGTAGCAACTCCCTTTAATTAATATATATGAAAAGTGATCACAATATTAGGACTCTCACGTCGAATATAATATATATGAAAATTAATATAATATTTAATTTTTGAATCTCTAAAAAAAAAAAAAAGACAATGTTAGAAGTTTTATATTAAATAAAATATGAAACTTAATATAGTATTTAATTCTTGAATCTCTTCTATTTAACGAACTAATTTTTTGGATTGGACTTTCTTCATATACTTAAGTCTTAATTATTCTCGTTAATATGATAATTAAAGATTAATTTTTACTTGTAAAACATATCTTTTATTATTACTTTAAATTAACACTATTTTTTATCATCAACTACATGGATTAACTTATTTTAAATTTTTATTACTTAACTAATGGTTTTAGGTGCAGAGGTGTGAGATTATTTTATTTTAATTAATAATGTTGAGTTTAAATTTTAGATATGCATTCCAAGGGAGTTTGTTATCCATAGTTATCCTACCATTCTTCAATAAGTTTGGTCTTAGTGAAAAATACATGTGATATAGGAAAAGAAAAGAACTATTTCCAGTTTTAAGAAATAAAAAATAAAAATAAAATTATTGGGTAAAAGTAGTTTTCAAAATTCTTTTTACAAATTAATAACTCTTTTAAAGATTTTTAATTTAGAAATCGTATTATCTCTACTTAATATTTATTTTGGTTATTTATTTTAGTTTTTAATATTTACATTATTTTCTTCATATTTGTTCTTCTTATATAATTTTTTCTTTTTAAAAATCGGATGTTATGAAGGCAAATTAATTTTACTGCGCTGACATGTTTCATAGTTACTAATACCTTTCTTGAATAAATTAATATAAACACATACCTTCCAATATTTACTTTATAAGTTACATGAAAAAGATAATATAACTTATTGTTTAATTAGGATCTTATTTTCTAATTTGGTTGTTAAATTAACGATTCGTTGGGTTATTATTTTTATTGTCCATTCCATTTACAATTATATATTTTTCTATACACTAGTAGAAAATCAGTCTTTTACGTCACTTCTTTGTTGTTGGACATACCAAAAATTGATGTAAAAAAGATACAATGATATTTTTGTAATTTTTGTGAACTTTTTTACGTCGGACATAAGGGAATCCGACATAAAATGTAAAATTTACGTCAAACATAAAATACGTCTTTTGATGATTATAATAAGCCTCTAATGGATTTCATGTCTACTTTGCTTGAGAATGAACAGGTGGTGAAATGTGTTGTATTAATTGGTCCCCCCTCCCCCTTATGTCTCTTTCTCCACCTTATATTATATGGGAATATGTGGTTGCATAGTGGCTACATCAACTAAATCCATCAGTGATGTTATTACTATAGGTTATATTGGTGGGGCACAGTGCTGGAGGGGTGAGCATTACTCAGGCATGTCACAAGTTTTCCAATAAAATATGCTTAGCCGTTTATGTGGCAGCAACTATGTTCAAATTCGGATTCTGCATCGATCAAGATCTTACAGATGTGAGTCCTTTTCACAAACCCTCTTTATGTTTTACTTTGTCAAGTCGAATATTTGATGGTCTGAATTCATTGTGCCCTGCATGTTTTTCCTTTGAATTTGAGACTTTGGTAACATTTATGGTGAATCATAAAGTTGAGGGGTAGAGAACTAGAGATAGGATAATATAATAGTGATGTGTATGAGTATGTTTGGATAGAGTTTACAATGGTTTTTAAGAGCTCATCTCTGCTTTTGTATTTTTAGTAAAGAAATTCTAAATAATCCATCCAGACTCTGTGTATTGGCTTCCATTAGTTTAAAAAAAATTAAATAAACCCTTCAACTAGAATTTATGAGAAACAAAAGGTTTAGATGACAGTTCCACCGGGAATCAGAGCATCCTTTATTATTGTTACAATCCCACTTTTTATGAAATACCTATCTCTTTCACTACTAGAAAATTGCAAAATAGCGACCGAAATTTATCAGTATAAATAATCAAAATAGCGACCGATTTAGCGACCAAAATAAATCGTCGCTAGAAAATCGGTCGCTATTTCGGTCGCTAAATAAGATTTTGATTTTTTAGTGAAGGAATTAAATTCAGTCGCTATTTCGGTCGATAAATTATAAATTTTGATTTTTTTTAGCGACAAAATTAAATTCAATCGCTATTTCAGTCGCTAAATTATAAATTTTGATATCGCTAAATATTAGTTAAAATTAGCGACAGAATTGAATTCGGTCGCTAAATAGAAGTTACATTTAGCGATAGAATTGAATTCGGTCACTATTTTCGTTGCTAAATTATAAATTTTGATTTTTTTTAGCGTTAATTCGATCGCTAAATATTAGTTAAAATTAGTGACAGAATTGAATTCAGTCGCTAAATAGTAGTTAAATTTAGCGACAGAATTGAATTCGGTCACTATTTCCGTCGCTAAATTATAAACTTTGATTTTTTTACCGATGAAATTTAATTTGGTCGCTAAATAGTAGTTAAAATTAGCGACAAAGTTGAATTCGGTCGCTAAATAGTAGTTAAATTTAGTGACGGAATTAAATTCAGTCGCTATTTCAGTCGCTAAATTATAAATTTTGATTTTTTTTAGCGACAGAATTTAATTTGGTCGCTAAATATTGGTTAAAATTAGTAATGAAATTGAATTCGGTCGCTAAATAGTAGTTAAAATTAGCGACGGAATTGAATTCGGTTGCTAAATATTAGTTAAAATTAGTGACGGAATTGAATTCGGTCGCTAAATTAGAAATTTTGATTTTTTTAGCGATAGAATTGAATTCGATCGCTAAATATTAGTTAAAATTAGCGACGAAATTGTATTCGGTCGCTAAATAGTAGTTAAATTTAGCGACAGAATTGAATTCGGTCGCTAAATTTAACTAAATTTAGCGACCGAATTGAATTCGGTCGCTAAATCAGAAATTTTGATTTTTTTAACAACAGAATTAAATTTGGTCGCTAAATATTAGTTAAAATTAATGACAGAATTGAATTCGGCCTCTAAATCAGAAATTTTGATTTTTTTAGCGACAGAATTAAATTCGATCGCTAAATATTAGTTACAATTAGTGATGTAATTTTATTCGGTCGCTAAATATTAGTTAAAATTAGCAACGGAATTCTATTCAGTGGCTGAATATTAGTTAAAATTAACAACGAAATTCTATTTTGTCACTAAGTAAAACTTAAAAAAAATTTATAAATTGCTTAAAAGTGATGATAATATTGTTGTTGAGTATCAATCCCATTTTCTTTTTATTGTAAGGGCAAGACATTAATTTATAATAAAAAAAAATATTTATATGCACTCCTACATAATTAATACCAATAGTTATTTATGTGAAAAAATATTTAGAGTTTTTTTTTTACGATTGGATTTTAGGTAGTTTTTTAATTAGAGTATATGAATTTTAAAATTTCTTATTTATTTTGATCCATATTGATAATATATATTTCTAACATATGATAACTTTATTTTTAAATAAATTTTTATATTTAAATTTTAAATTAGTATTTTATTAATGGTTGATAATTAGAAAATAAAACAAGGATAAATACATTTTTTGAATTTTATATCTTAGATTTAAGATGAATAAATATATTAAGTTAATTAATAATTTATTTAAAATGTTAAAATTTAATTTATAAAAATAATATTTTAGAAGAGAAGGGTTATAATAACACCGGTGTAACTTTTACTAAGTATTATACCGCTCAATAACTTTATATTAAATGTGAATTTTATAAATTCAACCGTTAGATTGAAAGTTTTTTACTCTTAGATCATATATACAAAATTTTATATGAATTCAAGATGATTTGATACTTCATTCTTGTAAAATAAAATTGACGTAATATATACATTTCAAAATATATTAAAATATGAACACTTTGATTACCTTCAAGTTGTTGTTCAATTTTAACAAAACTTGATATAAACATATAAAGTGATATGAACTTTCAATTTAACGGTTGGATTTACAAAATTCACATTTAATATAAAGTTATTGAACGGTGTAATACTTAGTAAAAGTTATACCAGTGTTATTATAACCCTTCTCATTTTAAAATATAAAAATTATTATTTAAACTTTTAAATTTATAATAGATAATTTAAATTGTATCATAATATTAATTTTAAATAGAAATAAGTAGATTGTTAATTATAAAAGTATATATATATAAATAAAGATTAATTAAATATAATATAATTATTGTTATTAGTAATATAATTATTATATATATTATTATATATTTATAACGGTCCGGATATACCAATATGATAAGGATTTAAAAATAATATAAGTATGAGATTGGATAGTTGAGGATGACTTAAATGAATTAATTTATACTACTTATACTAACAACATGCATTTGCTTTTCGGTAGCTTATCTCATAAAATTTAATAAAATAAAAAATAAATATTTAGCGACCGATTTATTCGGTCACTAATTTGGTCCCATACACTTTAGTGACCAAAATCATTTCAACCATTTAGCGACCGAAAATTTTTTCGTCGCTAAATAGCTTAGCGACCAGGGTTTTAGCGACCGATTAAATTCGATCGCTAATTCGGTCGCTAAGGTAAATAACGACCAATTTTTACAATTTAGCTACCAATTTTGGTGGTGGCTAAATTGCATTTTTTTGTAGTGTTTCTCTTGAAGCTTCTTGGACATTGTCACTGTTAAGAATCTGACAATTGGAACCAAAGGTAGTTAGAACTAGAAAATCTCATAACACTTTACACTAATGGAAACAAAGTATGGCAACAACAGAGTATGAAAATAAATTATGGATATATTTAGTGAGTTTATGAGTAAGAAGAAAATTTGACTCGTATAAATACATATGAATTATTCGGATTAAAAGTATTTTGAAGTTGCATAATTACTTAAGAAAGTTATGTGAATTTTTAAAATTCTCAATTGACTTATATAAATATTTATTTTTCTCTCACATAAATATACAATGTTTGAAGTGAAAAACTATTGATTATTGTATATTTTTAACTATAATCTTAAGATTATATTAATGATTCAGATTGCATATTTAATTATAAATCAATAATAAGTAGTTTCACCCTTTTTCTTAGGATAAAATGGCTTATATAATGTAAAACAAGGAATTAAATTGGTATATAATTGACGATGTTATTACCTTCACATTTTTCCCAATTCGTTGCCCTTCTGATATGAGAGTTCCTACCGATACCAATTGGAACACTGCCTTTAGCAGCTAGAAACCTCTTATCAGCATCCGTCTGGAACACAACAACCAGAAAACGAATGTTGCTGTTAAAATCACTTGTCAAACTAAAACCACTCTTGTTAACCTTACTCAAATGCAGCTACAACTCAATCCATGAACTGAATATCCAAGCGTTTAAAATTAGACCACTTTCATACGTGAAACCATGACCATGAACTGAATAAACTGCATTCAATATCCTAGAAAATATGAACACATATGCCTCATAATCAATGTGTTATCACTGACATAAATTAGTCAATATGAAGACTATATCAAATATCCTTATATAGTTTTACCTGAAGTCAGGCACAGACTTTTTGGTGATTCCCATATTTGCATTATAGAAAGCCTCAATTGTACCAATGTCTTCCCAGTAGCCATCATACAAGTAAGCTTGCACCTACGAATATAGACAAACATGCCTTACAATATTCTCTACTTTTGTCAATAAACGTTGTTTTTCTTTCTGTGTTCTGATCCCGTTGTATCAACTAAATACCTGATGTACTGCAAAGAAGCTTCCATAGATGCAGTGCTACTATTATTCTATAATTAAACTTGCTTCGCCTTTATTTTTATTTGCAGAAATTTTTAAACATAACCATCATAGTTGATAAAGTTTATTATTAAACTCACAAAAGACTGACAGGGCAAGTACTCATATTTGATCAGATCAATGAGCATAAAGCTTTTTATGGTAAAAACTAAATCACTCATAAGTCATACACAACAAACTTACTATAGTAGGCTGTTTCAGCAGACCATTTCTCATTCTCTGATACAAATCTTGACATTCTTCCTGCAGATAACACCTAATTTTTAAAGACTAAATTGTATAACATTTTCAGCTTTTCATTTTTATTAGAAACGTGTTCTTGACTTATGACTATGTAGGTTGTTCCTTTCATTGCTAGAAAGACTATTGGTGGATCACCTGAAGGCATTGCTCCATTTCTACAGTTGTCATGTATTAGTGAGACTACTATTAAGAAGGTGACCCAAAAGGTATGTCTAAATTATACATGTCTTTGTCATCTAATTGTTAATGATTAAATTTCCCTGGTTCAAATTTGGGGGACTAATATAGAAGGCTTTTTATGATGTAACTAATATATGATGTATATATGTTGCAGCTTTTTGAAGATGCTACACCATTGGGAGAAATCAAATTGGAAGACATTCGGATTCATTGGGGAAATTTTTTTTAGAAAAATTTAGAAATAGATCATGTTGAAAGGTCTAGTATTACATGTAAAATTTATAAATAGGTGAATGTGGCTTCAGCATTAGGTTGCCTAGTGCCTGGCTAATGTAGTGTGACCTAATTTTTTTGAGCTTTTCTTCTCCTTGTAAGAAAAAAACTCTTCTTTATGGATACTAGATTGGCCTCTCTTGGTTTCCAAGTATATTGCTTCTTTTGTATTATATATTATATATTATATAATGATAATGATGTAATTGAGTCATTTCGATAATGATAAAAATCCTAGATTGGCCTCTCTTGGTTTCTCTTATATTGGATAATTAAATCAGTTTTTGCAGGTTATTTATAATTGAATCAGTTTTATTTTAAAAATTAACTTGGTTAAAAAATTATAATCTATAGCGATTCTACGTAAAAATTGACTTAGATGTATTTATACATCTAAGTCGGTTATGAATAAAAACCGTCTTAGATGTGCACATATACATCTAAGTCAATTTTGATAAAAACTGACTTAGATATATTTATACAGCTAAGACAATTTTGTGAAAACCGACTTAGATGTATAAATACATTTAAGTCAATTTGTACGCAATCGATGTAGATAGGTTCATTCATCTACGTCGCCTTTATCTAAGTCAGTTTCAGAACCGATATAGACATAGCAAAATAACCGACTTAGAATACAATCCTTCTAATAGTGTATATATAAAAAGTTTTAGGGGTTGATTTAAAATTATATATATATATATATATATTAATTTATTTAAATTTATGTTCAAATTTTATTATCAACATTTTAATAACTATTGATAAATAAAATAGTTTTACACATTTAATGTGATATTTTCTATATCAACTACATTTATTATAATACTAGCATTGAGAAATTAATGAGTAAAGGGTTGTTTACTTTAAGAAGAAATATTATTTAAGTTGTGTATGAGGAAGTGATATTAGGATTAGAGGATAGTAGTGTCTATTTTATATCTTTTTTTGGAGTTATATTTAGTCATAGAGTATTATTTTAAAGTTATTATATTTGTCTTAGACCTAGAGTTTGCTTTATTGTATTTTATTGCCTTTGAGGTTTTTGTAAAGGTTGGATTTTGTCTTCATTTATAAACTTATATCTTGTTTCTTTCCCTTTTATATTATTAAAGTTTTTATTAAGAACTTAATTGTGAGAACCACTTTACATATTTAAGGGTCACTACAAGAAAATTATCATATAGTGACACACACTCTATAGTAATACAATATGTATTTTTAAAAATTACTTTTACTCACACAATAAATATAATATATATTGGTATATTATTAAAAAGTGTGGATATAAGCTATAGTGACTCACAAAATATGTTATTAAATCTCATTCAAAATCAATACTAAAGTTATATGTAATTATATATCAAATAGATATATAGTTACATATATTATACCTATAGTGACATTTTTTATATGTCACCATATATAACATTTCTTATAAAGAGTTTCAATTTTATTTCAATTATTTTATAAAGAAAGGATTTTCGTGTGTGTGTGTGTATATATGTGTGTGTGTGTGTGTGAGAGAGAGAGAGAGAGAGAGAGATTTCATGCATTCATGCATAGTTTATTTGGAGGTGGTTGTAAACCTATGCAAGAGGGTTTATATTCTACCTTGACTTAGTGGTGTTATGGTGGGAATCCTCTAACTAGTATAAGAGGTAACCATGCATGCACAACTATGATACCTTGATTGGCTTCTAATAGATCTTCTCCTAGAGAGAGTGAATTGCGAAGGTCGTCCAAAAGGTGGTGATCCAATCCATGTACTCTTAGGGTACCTTGTATTTGGAGTAAATTTTACGATTTTGGAAATTGGTAACACATGCATATAGAATTAACATTATGAGTCTGCATTAGTCCTTGAGAAGTGGATGTGTATGATTTTTAAATTGATGTATTGAATAAAGTGCTTTGAGACTCAAATATGAATGCTTGAGTGGATATAAATTATATGATTGTGTAGATTGTTAGAGTACTATATATCTATATGTCCCTCTTATGTGTTTATACATGTATGAGACATAATCTCACTCCTTTCGCGTTTTGTTGTTTACTTTTCTTGTTTAGGTTGAACGTCATGCAAGAGTTGGTCAAGTGGAAGAGGTTGAGCGTGAGGGAGGTGAAGCTTAAGGCTTCATTTTTACTTCTATTACTCTTGCTCTAATTAGTGTGACATCGGATTATGGGACAATTGTTGCTTTGTTTGTCTTTTGAAAACCATGTTTTAAACTTAAGTTTTTTCTACTATGTTTAGTTCTCTTTAAGTTCTTTGAAGATTTATATTTTTGTCTCTTTTTGAGAACTTATGTCGACTAGTTTTATTTCCATATTATATGATCAGAGTCTTTATTCAGAAGATAAGACATATGAATTTGTTTACCATGTGATTAAAGAGCTTTATTTTATTTAATCTGTTTTGAGAAGTGTATTTTTATAATATATAAATTCATAATAAATATTTGAGATAGAAGGGTGTCACAACAATAACAACAATAATAATAAATAAGTACCTTTGTATTAACTTCCCAACATGAATATAGTCTTTTTTGGTAATTTAACTTTTCTATAATTATGCTTAATTTTGAAATTTGATATAATATTGTTTAGTTAGTTTTAAAAATATCATAATAAACAAATATAATATGAAAACATGACCAGGTTTGAGTTTATTGTTAGAGTTGGGTTACTTGTTGACAAAACTTTCACTTTTTCCTTATGTTTTTGTTTATTCTTTGATGATATAATAATAATAATAATAATAATAATAATAATAATAATAATAATAATAATAATTTGACTTACAGATGAAAGATAGAGGTAGAGGTGGTGGTCGTAGGCCACCTAATCATGGTGGTAGAGGTCATATTTGTGGGAGAGCTCCATCCACCACAAACTTTCCTACTAATATTCACATCTTAACCTCGGAGTCAACAAATCCTATTGGATAGACTTCACAACATGCAATTCAGGAAGAACATAATCCCACCATTGTATGAGAATCGGTTCCTGCTACTCTTTTTAGAGAAGACACACCTTCGAAACTAGAAGGTTCACTTACACCTGAGTACCCACCACCTTAAGAGTCTGGACATCTAGATGATCAAAGGCCTTGGCTTTATGCAGAAAAAGGAGAGTAAATAAATTTTGATGTTTTGCTTCCTTTTGCTATAATATTATATAAATATGACTTTGACAATATCTTTTTACACAGGTTTACACTGGCCAATGGACCCTCTATTGTCATTTCAAGGATCATTAGGAAAAAATTTGATCAACCAAGTCCTTCTTGGAAAAAAGTAACACTTGACATTCGAGACAGATGGTTTGGAGAGTTTAAGGTATATTGAGTTGGATTTCCATTTAAAATGTGTTAATTGTTTGTTGAATTATGTTTGATGACTAACTCACTTTTTTTCTAGAAAGAGTTTAGATGGGATCCATAACAAGAGCAAGTCATTAGGTCTATTTTTGAAACAAAAAGGTTCACACATTTTTAAAAATGCCATGAACAAGGTCAGGAACGGTCAAGATAAAAGGACATGGATTCAAGCTAGTGTTCGAGCAGCTTTGGACCAACCAACGTTGGGGTTCTGAGAGTTTCCAAAATAAGAGTTCCACTACCAAGGCAAATAGAGCTGTTGATAAGGGGGCTTCAGCCTATTGTGATGGCTCTATATCCACAGCAGCTCATTATGAGAAATTGATATTTTTATTTCAACTTTAATCTCAATATTGTATGACTCTGATACTATAATTAAAAATTGAGATGCATGGTTTTATGACTTTGATACAAAATTAAGGACACACTTACAATAGGTTATCTACAGACATATGTAGAAGACTTATAATAGTTCTAGGATCTCTACAAGGCTAACTATCCCTTTTGTTTGAAATAAATATTATTAAAATCAAGTGTGGTTGCATGTCCCTTACAAAGACATAGACACAAAGTTCTAACTATATGCAATTATTATCTAAAGATAATACAATAGACAAAAAAAATTAAATGTATTTGTTTGAGTAGGATGGACTTAGGATTACCATTGTAGGAGGTGCATATGTTAATCTATATTATATATTGTGCAATATTTTTTACATTGTTGTATTTATGTCTTCATGTGGGAAAGTAAGCATTATGATTTGTATAAGATAATGTCTTAGCAATTTCCTTAATGCTTTATAATGATTATGTATACTACCTTATTTATGATCTATAAAAATTTATGAAGATATATCTTTTATAATTTGTAATGATATTGTACTTTTAGCAAGAATCTAATAAAAGTTAAACCATTTATAATTTATTTACTTTTATTGCATGTTCTTTTAAAGAGAAATATATTTGATGTTCTTGTAGATCCATTATACATGATGTATAAAATTTTATGTTCACTCTAAAAGATGATT